ATTTGCTTGCCCATACCACATCTGCTCGCGATAACTTACTTCAGGTATGTTTCCTTTCTTGCTGCGCAATAGATACTCCGCACAACTGCTGTCTATGTCACGTGGTTAAAGTACATCTGGATACACACTTTTCATACAAAATGGTTGGTTGAGAACATAGTCGTTACAGTAACTAGTCATCCAAAATCAGAGCTGTTAAGAAATTTCTCGCTGCTGGATCAAAGTACCAATGGCAAACCGTAATCACTCCACCTATTCAACTTGTTCATCGAAGATAAGAAGGAAGAAAACATTATGAAGAAGTTAGAACTCAGGCAGAACAGAAAATATCGTGAAATCTGAACACTGGATGATTGGGCTATTTTGTTAATCAGAGAACATATCCATGTAACTGACGTTACCAAAGTAGATGCAGGGAGTCATCGACAAAGTGTAGGAACACGCGATAATGAGTCAGGACTCAACGAATGAAACAGTAGCCTTAGCTTCTGCGCGACTCTCATCAGACAGTGTCAAACGGATACGCAGGCGCCAGAGAGTCAAGCGGCGCCTATGACTTCTCAATCCAACTAGCCTAAATGACCTGGTACAACTGGAACAGTACCGGCACTACTGCACTAATAAAAGCAGACGCAGAGGTAGCGAGTGACTGTACAGACGCTCAGATGTGCGGAGAGTAACTATCAGGGAGCAAGTGTGCAAAGGAGCAAATGTGCGGCGATTAAATTAGTGCATAGCGTTTTGTATTGTTCTTTATGATTCAAAGTGAATTGATATGCTTTTTCATCCTCTTCTGATGTTATACAATGTAAAATATCTTCGGTTCCTTTTGTAAAAATTTCTGCGTATATGTTGAAAACAGAGGTCTACGAAGCAACCAAAGCGGTAAAACCTCAATGCAATGATATGATCAGCAGGAGCAATTACGTTTTGCGTACTGTGTTTTGCAACAAAATATCCGTATGATAAACAAAACAATATCGAATTTTCGGTTTATGCTTCTAATAAGTGCACCTTTTTTTAAAGACGATCTTTTCCTGGTCTATCAATTTTCGATTAAGAAAGTCTTAATCAATTGTATTCCAGCTAGATAGATCAAAATTTAAAACGGTTAGAAACCTCTACCCTAAGATGACCTCAAACTGATGCGTAACCTTACGACATATAACGAAAAAAGAATGCATACTAGAATCTGCGTCCCGCAAGAAAGTCGCATATCGAAAGACTTCGGTTTTGCGTCAAAGGAATGTCGACCCAAAATCGTCATATAGACCGACAAGTCTTCCAACACGGATGCTTCCGCCTCTTCGGCAGAAAACGTGACGGCACTATAAAACAATACTTTAAATGAAAAACAAACCAAATCAGTCAGTTATCAGTACCTATCGGCTTTTTTTCTCAACCTTTTCATCTTCTTACCGACTCGTTTCTTTATCTCGTCCTTGGAGTATAGTTTGAAAAGGTCAACACCTTTACCAGTTC